AAGCCATGTGTGTGTGTTATTTTCTGGGGCTGATGTCTCCCTAGTATGAAACCCTGCTCCCCTACCCGCCTCTCCCGTGACCTGACCTAGTTCAACATCCTAGACATGTCTGGACACGCTGACTGGACGGTCAGTGAGCGACTTGCTCAATTCTTGGCCGAGGTCACAAGCCAAGTGCAGAAAGGGCAATTAATGCTAATTAAAGCAGCGGCTTCTATGATGCGGACACCAGCCAGAGCTGGGCTGAGTCCCATCCATCCCATTTCATAGAGCGTCTGACTGAGCGACCCTCGGTAACTTTCAGTCACGTCCTCTCTGGGCCAGATTTGAATCATAGAATCATAGGACTGGAAGAGACCTCAGGAGTCATCGAGTCCAGCCCCCTGCCCAAGGCAGGACCAACCCAACTCAATCAACCCAGCCAGGGCTTTGTCAAGCCGAGACTTAAACACCTCTAGGAATGGAGATTCCACCCCCTCCCTAGGTAACCCATCCCAGTGCTTCCCCACCCTCCTAGTGAAATAGTTTTTCCTAATATCCAACTTAGACCTCCACCACTGCAACTTGAGACCATTGTTCCTTGTTCTGCCATCTGCCACCACTGAGAACAGCCTCTCTCCATCCTCTTTGGAACCTCCCTTCAGGAAGTTGAAGGCTGCTCTCAAATCCCCCCTCGCTCTTCTCTTCTGCGGACTAAATAAGCCCAAATCCCTCAGTCTCTCCTCACAGGTCATGTGCTCCAGCCCCCGAATAAATGAAAGGGAGGGAACGGAGGTTTAGGTTGGACATTAGGAAAAACTTCCTACCTGTCAGGGTGGTTAAACACTGGAATAAATTGCCTAGGGAGGCTGTGGAATCTCCATCTCTGGAGATATTTAAGAGCAGGTTTGATAGACATCGACCAGGGATGACAGTACTGGGTCCTGCCATGGGGGCAGGGGACCGGACTCGATGACCTCTCGAGGTCCCTTCCAGTTCTAGTGTTCTATGATTCTATGAAATGGTGCCGGAGAGGGGAAAAGGCCTACGGCGTATTCCCAGTCCCCCGCACCTCCTAGCCTTCTGCTTCGGTCTGAGCCGGTCTCCTTATGAGTCTCCTCCACCCTCTCACAGCAGCATCGTAAGCCGAGCGCGGGTCTCTCCTTTCCTCCCACAGGTGTGGATGGCTCCATGTTTGAGGTCCTGCCCCAGTCGGCCGACCTGCCCGACTTGCAGCGCTGCAAACTGTGCGCGGACCGCTGGAAACCCTGCATCTGCAGCTACTCGCTGAGCATCGAGTGGTACCCCTGCATGCTCAAGTACTGCAAGAGCCGCGACGTCAGCGGCAAGGTCTCCTCCTACAAGTGCGGCATCCGCAGCTGCCAGAAGGGCTACCGGTTTGACTATTACGTGCCGGAGAAGCAGCTGTGCCTATGGGACGAGGAGACCTAGCAGGTTCTGGCTGGATCTCTTCAAGTGGCAGCACTTCTGCCTCCCGCTGTCCTTCCATGATGCTCGCGGGGGCGGGGGGGAGCTGGCTGCCCGGAGGGAGAAGGGGGCCAGGGAGGTATCTCGTGCCAAGAGGCTCTTCCCTGCCCTTGCTCCTTGGTCCCCTAATGCTGCCTCACACTGTGAAAACAGGCTCCGTGTCCATGTCTGAGGAGCGCCCTGCCCAACGCCCCAGGGCAGCCTGGGACCAGAAGGAGGCCGAGGAGAGGACGGTTTGTGGGAACAAGGGGTGCCTTTTGACCGGGCAGCTTTCCCAGCTGCGGGGAGGAGACAGAGAGCCGGGGCACGGAGCCTCTTCAGAGATGGAGCCGTTTTGTGTGTAGCCGTTCACCCAGCCAAATGTGACCCGGGGGCTTTATCTTTAAAAAAATCCCCACTCCCCTGAGGGGGGGGGCAGCTCTGGCCCCTTCCCTGCCTCCTCGACCTACCAGACGGCGTGTGGGGTCCTTCCCACGCCAGGAGGCCCACAGATCAAGAGCCCTGCTGTGGTTACAGTCTCACATGGGACGTTGTCCCCTCTCCTCGGAGGAGCCATAGGTATCAGGAGTTGCCATACCCCCCACCTCAGCGCGTGAAAGGTTCGACCGGCCGTCTCTGGTTTGGCTTGTTCTCCTGACCCTCGCTGGGGATTAGACTCTTGCGTTCCTGTCAAACACGTCCCCCACCGCTCCAAGACAGCAACGGTGGCAGGGAGTGGGGATCCCAGCTTGGGTTTGCCCCCTGGTGGTGCTGGTCTAGTGGAGAAAGAAGAGGATGGAGAAACGCTTGGAGCCTGTTTCCGCCTGTCAGACCCTGGCACTGCCTTGGTTTGCCTCTGGGTGAGAGTTGGGACCTGCTTCTGTGTAAAGCAGCGGAAAGGCGCTCCCGGACTGCTGTGTCCTTCCTGTATCCTGCTTTCCCTGGGGCTGGAGCACGAGGGGAAAATACCAACAGGGCGACACCATTCACACTTGAGAGCAGCTGCAGTTTGGAGCTGTAACGCCACCATGTGCCTTTTTGCCTAAAATCCAGGCATTGCAGACCAAAAAAAAAAGCTATTTGAGATTTTTTTTTCTTTTTAATTTTCTCATAGAACTATTTTTGTATCCATCTTGTAAGAGGAACGGTTGTTTTTGTTTTTTTTTAAGAAAATATTGCCACATGAAGTAACCAAAAAAATAGAAACGTGAAGAGATTTTTAAAGCAAATTATTTATCATGTGTAAGATAGATACACGGGGTTTGGGATGTATCCCTAGCATCCACAACTCACTCTCAGCCTGCGTTTGTCGTCCAGTTCCTTAGGGCACGTCTACACAGCAGAGCTAAAGTTGAATTAAGCGACGCAACTTCAGCTACAATTGTGAAGCTGACAAGTCGAAATAGCTTATTTCAAATTTGGGCACATCTACTCAGCACTTATTTCAAAATAGAGCGCTCTTCCTCTGACTTCCCTTGCTCCTCGTGAAATGAGGGTTACAGGAGTCGGAGTAAGAAGACCTCCAGGTCGACATTATTCCGAAATAACGATTTGCTGTGTAGATGCCATTTTGTTATTTTGAAATAACGTCAGTTATTCCGAAATACCGCTGCTGTGTCGACGTACCCTTAGGATTAAGGGCTGCTGCCTTAAGATGGAAAATTCACCCGCAACCTCAGGGGAGCAAGCAGGCCGGAGGACTCAGCAGGAGCAGTGGGAGGGCAGCTGGGCAGGGGATGGGGCTGGCAGCAGGAGCCAACTCTGAGCCTGTGGGGGTGGAGGGAGGCGGCTGCAGCATGAGACTGGCTAGTGAAGCCGATACACAATGTGCAGCTACTAGGGCACATGAAATTCGGGGCAATTTGGAGCTCCGCGATTCCTGGTGCCTTACCCCGCTGCATCATTTTGTGTATTGGTTGGTCCGGCCCTGTTTCCACAATTCCTGAATCCAGGCCAGGATCCGGGGAGACCTGGTGCGATGGCGCTAGGCAGCTGTTGAGATGCTAGGGAGGAACCCCAGGGCCCCCACACCTCAATAAAGAATCCTTTTTAGCATTAGGGCGGAGTCCTGTCTGTTGTTGACTGCCCGCCGCGGTTTGGGCTTAATAGGTCTTTACCATCTCAGTCCCAATCCCGTGACTGGTGCGGGGAGAAGTTTGGGCTTCTGTTACCCTCTGGAGAAAGGCAGCCTCAGCGCCCCCCCTTTATCTTTCAGGGGGAACCACAGCTGTCCGGCATGGGGGGCAAATCACTGTGCATCTGCCCCCGTCCCGCCTCTTCCTCCTCCGACCATCTGAATGGCCCAGCCTTTCCCTCTTCTGTCGGGCGGTTTCCATTCTCTGCTTACCGAGTGCCTGTCTTTCCTCTACCCATCACCCGAGGATTGCTTCCCTCCGTGCTTTAGGCCATGTCACTGGCTGGGGTTGCCCATGGGCACGAGGAGGGGACTTTCTGTTCCTCCCCTACCGTGGTTGGGCTCCATGGCTCCCCTGTTCCATCCCACGGGGACACCGGGCGATTCTCAGCCATGCTGCAGTGGACTTTCATGCCAAAGAGCAGTCGGGGGCGGGGGTCCTGGGACAGCCTGCGGTTGTGTGTCCCACGAGAGATGGGGGTGCCGTGACAGTCCCTGCAGCACCCGCACACACTCAGCAGCACAGGGGTTGTTTCTCTAAGATGCTCCTAGAACACCCATCCCCTGGGTATCTAAGCCCACATTTCCCCATGGTCCACAACCCCTCCCATCACCTTGCCCTTTGAGGGGGGTGGTTCTGCCCATCCGTCATTGGATAATGGCCTTACTAGAAAGAAGTTCTCCCTTCTGTTGGAGACCCACATGCTGCTTTTTCTTTCCCCGTGGCCGCTTTCCAGACCTGTAGCTCAGGATGAGACCAGCAGTTCTCAAACTGTGGGTCAGGACCCCAAAAGTGGGTCATGACCGGTGTTCCTTGTAAGCTGAGCACTTGGGCAGCCACCCAGGAGAGGTGCAAATGGCAGCCAGCTGATTAGCAGAGCGCCCACAGCTGGCAGCATGTGTGTCTATGGGTGGTGCACATCCACGCATGCCTCGGTGCATGTGACAAAATTTATTCTTCACATAGGGTGGAAAAAATTAGAGGGAACACTGGTCCCCAACTCCATTTTAATGGGGCCACCAGAGCTAATTCAGATTTGTTGGGGCTGGAGCCAAAGCACTAGCCCCACTACCCAGGCACCAAAGCCAAAAGGTTTCAGCCCTGGGAAGTGGGGCTCAGACTTCAGCTCTGTCACCCAGGACATGTGGGCTCAGCCTTTGGTCCCCCCTCCAGAGGTCATATAGTAATTTCTGTTGTCAGAAGGGGTTGCGGTGCCATGATGTGTTTAGAACCCCTGGGTTAGACTTATGGGTGACAGGTGAAGACCCAGCTGAGGAAGGCAAGATGAAGCTCCGCCCCTTCTTCCTGAAGCCACACCCCTTCCCTGAGACCACACCCCTTCAACAACCTCCCCCCCACCCCAACTAAGCCACACCCAATGCCAGCTGAGGCCTGGGACTGCCACAGGATGCAGCCCCAACCGCTCCTGGGCAGCGTAAGCATCTTTGGGAAGGCCATGCCTTTCCTTGCCTATGTACCCACCACCCATGGTTAGACTGATCATCCGGAGCAGCAAAGCAGCCAGCAGTGCTACTGACGGATCCTGCAATATCGGTGGGCTGCAGTTACAGGTGAGCTCTTCCCCATAATTGAGAGAGATCACAGCACCCTGCCCAAGCACAGGGATACTCCATCCACTCTGCCAAGAGCCCGAAGACCTTGAACTGCTGGAGGCAGGAGTTCAGGCCCCTGCCTGCAGCAAGGCACGGTGGGTGTTAGAGAGCCAATAAAGGCAGCAGAGGAAGCCCAGTGCTGGGGCCTGGTAGGTAACAGAGGAAGGAAACAGACTTTAAACCGCTTTGCTTTCTACAATGTATTTGTTTGCAGCCTGATCTGGAATCAGTGGGGTTTCCCGAATCTATGCCAACCCCTCGGTTAACTAAAGTTTGAGATTTTCCCTGAATCAGTGGGGTTTCCCGAATCTATGCCAACCCCTCTGTTAAAGTTTGGGATTTTCCCCAGGGGCAGACTATGGACCAAAAGTCACCTGGCTCTTGCAAAACCGCTGCTTAAAAGTCTCCCTGCTTGGCTCCTGGAGGTGACCAAAAGTCACCTGGCTCTTGCAAAATTGCTGCTTAAAAGTCTGTCTGCTTGGCTCCAGGAGGCGGAAACCAGCAGCAGCCAGATTCTCAGCTCTTGTAAATCAGCCTAGCAATGCCAGCTCCCCCAAAATTCCTTAGCTTCCCCAGCTGGGAGGCTGGCTCCTTCCTTTACCTCGCTGTTTTTGCTGCCTCCTTTAGTGAGACAAGTGCAGCAGTGGGCTTGCAGTGCGGTTTGGAAAATCTCCACTAGAGTGTGCTGCTGACCTGAAAACCCCCAACACCTGAGCTGCTTTGAGAATCAGGAAAACATCTGTGCATCTACAGGAAGAATATGCTTCAGCTGAGGTGGGAATTTGTGGCAATAAACTTCCCAGTTAAAATAATTCAATCAGTGCAACCGAAAGCTACATCTCATGCACTAAAGACTTTTCTCCCCCGGCCCCTTTCCAAATTAAAATATGGTTGTGCCAATTTTCTTCCACTATTTGATCTGAGGAAGTGGGTCTGGCCCACGAAAGCTCATCATCTAATAAACCATCTTGTTAGTCTTTAAAGTGCTACATTGTCCTGCATTTTGCTTCAGCTACCCCAGACTAACACGGCTACATTTCTATCACTATTCCAAATTAAAAGGTGTTCACCACTCTTTGCAAGATCTCTTGCTATTTCCCAGTCCCCATACGATGGGACTAATGCATCCAGGAGAAGAATAAATTTCATCTGGCACAAATATTTTCTTTACCAGGCTTGCACAGTGCATCTATACAGTCAACAATGCTGAAAGGCAGCTGTTTGCAGGAGCAAACTGGCAGCTGGCACTCTGGGTGAGGATGGCTCAGAATAAGGGGATAAATCCATGCTGCCAAGAAAAGCATCTGGATATCTTTAACAGCCCTGCAACTGTGACACGGGGGCTTAGGTTTTAAGGTCCTATGTGGAAGGCCATGCTCTGTACGCCAAGCCTCATCCCAGGAGCTTTAGCCAAAGGAGGGTAGATGTTAGTGGGTGGAGAGAAAGAAGCACAAACAAGGATGAGTGTGGATTGGTCATTCCCTGAGGAAGGGCTACCGTACGGGTTTCTGGCAGTAGTGTCTGCACTGGAATCCAGACCAATGGAAAGCAAATCCCTCCTAGGCTGGAAAGATCTTATTCTAGATGTGATTCACCCGCTGCTTTCACCTGCCCTGTTTTACCCCAAATGGACAATCGTGTTATTTTAAACAATGCTCTGTAGTAGGGTCTTGAGTGGATAATCTAAACTACTAGCTGGAGTTACCTGGCGTTACTCGAGAAACCGGAGGAACAAAATGTAGAAAACCCATAGTCCATAATCTTTTTTTGAATGGTAGAAAAGTTGCACTGATTTCTATAGGGATTAAAATATAGGTCCGTGTCATCCCCGGGGGGGAGTGGTGCGACGCCAGGTGATGGGGAGGTTACACGCGGGAGGGGCGCCCCAGCTTGCGTCCGGGGCTGCAGGTGACGCGGGGGGCAGGGCGGATGCCTGAGCTGTTGTGCACATGGGGGTGGGGGCACTGGGTGGCAGTGGGGGTAGGGGAGGGAAGAGAGTCGCTTATGTAACCTCGCGGCTAGGGTGGGCAGGGCAGCTGGCAGGGGACCTAGGGTGGGCAGGGCGGCCCCCGCAGTGCAGCGCGGTGGGTTACTTTTTGATTTATACAGCTTGAGCTCAGGCCAGATTGTGTCCAAAAGTACCTTAAAACCTTCTCCTGGAGGAAAGGTTACCCCATGCAAAGTTTGGTTGTGGTAGCTCTTATAGTGCCCAAGTTATTAGCGCACAAACATACAAACATTTTCCTGTATATATTAGATTAGCTACATGATGCAGCAAAGTTTGAGTTGCAATAGGTTAAACTAATCCACTCCCACTTTGAAATGGGGGTAGGTTAAAAGCCACTAGAGGCCTTTGAGTGAAGGGCAGCAGGGCCTACCAATGTTCCCGTTAAGCTGGGCGCTTGTGCAGCCGCCTGGGAGAGATTCCAGTGCCACCCAGCTGGTTAGCAGAGCACTCACTGCTAGGTTTGTGTTTCTCTGTGGTGCACATTCTCACATGCCTCAGTGTACATAATAAAATTTATTCCACACATGGATGGAAAAGATTAGAGGGGGTACTTTGGTCCATACAGTTCTGTGTAGTAGATTTACATCGACTTGCCAGAAACTAAATGTTCTTGCAGACAAATCCCAAGAATGGTCTTAAACAGCATATGCAGCCAAACTTTTAAAAGTGGCTATTGCTCTTACCTGCAACAGTTTGGGTAGGAGTTGGGGGCCCAGCATGCTTCTTTGACTTGCAGCGGTGCTAAGCATCACAACTTCAGTCCAAATAAATAGGAAATGACCATGCTCAGCCTCTCTTCAAATCAGCATCTGGGAAATTGAGGCCCCCAAAATCACTATTTGTGAAAATGTTGCCTGTGGATTTTACTAAGAATGGTTTCTAGTTGGTTTTACTCTCACTGTGGTACCTTAGCAACAAACCTAAATATATAGAATCATGAGCTTTTATGGGTATACCCATTTCATCAGATGAATTGGAGTGGAAAGAACAGAAACCAAGATATATATATAACCAAGGCTCGCCGAACCGCGGCAAGCCCCGCTTGCCAGCTGCGCTGTCTGGCGAGCTGCGCATGCACAGATCGTTCTGCACATGCGCTGATCGCCCAAACCCGGCTCTTCTGGGTTACAATCTACAGGCAGTCCCCGGGTTACATACAAGAAAGGGACTGTAGGTTTGTTCTTAAGTTGAATTTGTATGTAAGTTGGAACTGGCGTCCAGATTCAGCCACTGCTGAAACTGACCAGCAGCTGACTACAGGAAGCCCGAGGCAGAGTTGCTTTGCCCTGGGCTTCCTGGAATCAGCCACTGATCAGTTTCAACAGCGGAGCTTATTCCCCAAAGAAAGCAGGAGTTAGTATTTTAAAATAACCAGCCTGTTATTTTCAAATGACAGGCTTGGTAGTGTGGACGCTCTGCTTATTATTTTGAAATAAGGGGGGTTATTTTGAAAGAATTCCCTACTGTAGACTGGGGCTAACGGGTCTGCTTCTTCCTTTCTATTCACAAGGCCAGTAACCCTGTCAAAGAAGAAACTTAAGCTCAGTTTGCATGATTTGTTCTTCACAAATCCATGCTGGCTGTTCCTCATTACTCTGTTATCCTCTAGGCACTTGCAAAATGACTGTTCAATAAATTGTTCTGGTACCTTTCCATGTATTGAAGTTAGGATGACTGATCTGTAATTTCCCACATATTCTTTATTCTCTTTTTAAAAGTCAGGTCTTCTTCAGTCCTCTGGGGCCTCCAGGGTTCTCGAAGATAATTACTAATGGTTCCAAGTTTGCAAGTTTGCTTCAGTTAATATCTTATGTAACCAGGATGAATTTCATCAGGTACTACTAACTTGAATCTACCTAATTTATCACAATATTCTTTAATCTGTTATTTTCCTATTTTGTCTTGGGTTCTTCCCTCGTGTTGTGAATAATTGTATTAAATATCTGGTCACCATTAATCTTTTTAATGAAACCTGAAGCATAATAGGCATTAAACCTCCCAGACCTTCTTGATGTCATCAGATCTTCTTCCTCACTAAGCAGACTAACACTTTCTGATGTCTTCCTCATGCTCCTAACATTTTTAAAGATCTCTTCTTATTACTGCTTATACAGGCAGTCCCCGCAGTTACGAACGGGGCCCTTCCTCTCCCTGGTCTCCAGCAGACCACGGAGAGGAAGCAAAGCGGTGGAACACGCGGGCAGCGGACAGGGTTATCCGCTGCCCACGCGCTCCGCGGCTTGGCTCTGCTTTGATGTAAGTCAGAACTGGCGGTCAGTTTCAGCAGCGGCTGAATCTGGACGCCAGTTCCGACTTACATACAGATTCAACTTAAGAACAAACCTACAGTCCCTATCTTGTACGTAACCCGGGGACTGCCTGTATAACAGTAGAAGTAATACCTGTCAATTGTAGGACCCATGTTAATGAGGCTAATTAAATGGGCTGGATGTGTCCCATACATAGCTTTTGATGTGGAAATGCAGATGTTAATAGCAGGAGAAATTGGCTTTGTAATGCACCCACCAGTTAATGGGTATGGCTAGACTACAAGTTTTTGTCAGAAAAAGGTACGCAAAATGCACTCAGCATTTGCATACCTTTTTCCGATTCTTTTGTCAGAAGAGGCTTTTCCGACATTTGGCCCGTCTAGACTGGGCCAAATGTCGGGAAAACCCCCTCTTTCGAAAGCCCCCTTCTTCCTTGTAGAACGAGGAATACAGAGGCTTCCAAAAGAGCACGTTTGCTCTTTCACAAAAAAAAGCAGAAGTGCAAATGTGCCCCTAAAGTCTAGCCGTACCCAAAATCTTTGTTCAAGCCCTGGGTAATTGTGTCTCATCTGTAGATGAATTCCAGTTCTGCAGACTCTCTCTCTAATTGGGTGGTAAAATTCCTTTGTAGAAGAATGGCTATTTTAAAATCCATGAGTGACTCACCAGGTATGTTAAAATGTTCCTCCCTGGGTGTGTGTGTGTGTATGTGTATGTGTGTGCATGCGCGTTCATTTAATCCTTTGTGGAATTCACATCAAAAGTCCCCTAATGGACCAGCAGGAGGTGCTGTGCATCTGCCCAGAAAGGTGGCAAGGCAGGAGCTAGCTAGCCAGATGCATCCAAGGTACAGGCGAGGGCCCAGGCCAGCCACCTGTCCTGCAAGAAGTGCGTGGTGTTAGCACTGCGTTCAGCCCCACAGATGGCTGCCTGCTTGGAGCAAAGGGTGGAGGAAGAGCACATTAGAACTGAGCCCATGCCCTAGAAGATGGCTCCTGACCAAACTTAGTGGTATCGCGTGAGGAGAAGGTTGCATGTGCAATCAGTTCCCTGGTCAGCATATGCGGTGGTCTCCTCCGTGCCCGATCCACCCAGGACACAAGTCTGGAGCAGCTCCCAGCTGCAGAGACTGCCCCTTGTGGTTCGGGAGAGCCCAAGAAGCGAGGTTGGCCCTGCACGCCGCACTGATTGCAAGAGACAAATGAACAGCTCGTGCAGCCTAATCTTGCCCCCTCTCTGATGTGGGCAAAGCTCCCCTCCTAACTCGTGTCCTTTGAAATCGGGCCGTGAGTGCCTAAAATGTTCCCAGACTCTCCTTAGAATTGCCTCCCTCCGCCGCCGACTTCCCCTCTGCTTTCCCCTCTCCGTCTCCCTGCCCTGTTTGTTTGTCTCTTCCTTCACGAGCTTTGTTGTTTTCCCCCATGCTGGGGATTCCCGCACCATCGCCTCCTACTCCCCGTCTCTCCCCGCTGCAGCGCCTGACTCAGGCTCTCAAACCCAGGGGGTTTGGACGCTGGGCAAAATGATCCCTCCCATGCTTGGGCGAAACCTGTATTTCCATGGAACAGGAAGTGCGGCGTGTGGGAAAGCTGAGTGCTCCGGAAAGTTGGCGAGGGAGAGAGAAATGGATGTGTGATAGCTTGCACCTGGCAGCGACGGAGCGCTCATAAACCGTCAGGATGGATTCCCGGCACAGAGGCCTGGGCAGAGCTAAGCTCAGACGTTCAAAGGGCCCGTGAACGAGAAGGCCTGGCTTAAAGAGTCGGGGGGGAGAGGAGTCACAGGTGCTTCTGGGAGCGAATACACACGCCGAGGTCTGTCTCCACAGCAGAGTTAGAGAGCCAGCGGCACTTTACTCCCGCTCGGGGGCTGCAGGGCTGCATTCTGCCTTTCGTGGGCCCCAGGCACTTTTGCCTTCGTGGGCCCCTTCCTCCATAAAAAAAATTAAAAATTATTTTGGATATAACTTTAAATACTTCAGCGTTTTATTTTTTTTCTGTTTTAGGCAAAATTGAATAGATTTTCGTGGGCCCTAAAAGTTTCGCTTTTTTCTGATGTGAGGAAAAAAATTAAAACATTTTCTTTGACCCTAAAAGTTCATTTTTTTTCTTCTGATTTTAAAAGAAATTCAAACATTTTCGTGGGCCCCTAAAAGTATCGTGGGCCCTAGGCACTGTGCCTACTGTGCCTAATGGATAAGTCGGCCCTGGGGGACTGCATTAAAATATCCCTTCTGCCTGTGCCACTCCAGCAACGTCATGACTCTGCCTCCGCCAGCAGCCTGGTGCTTAAGTCCACGTAATTAGGCCGAGGCGGCATCTTGTAGGCCTGGTGTTACTTACATGGACTGTGGCTGCCTTTCCAAACTCGGCCCAGGAGGCCCTGCACTGGCAGGTAAACGGGTGCCAGAGCTTCTGGTGGCGACACACCTCCCCGGCACAAGCAGCATCCTGTGGACGTGTTACAGCCACGCAACTTAGGCCGACTTCGTTTCGTAGCGCGCGCTTGCCCAGCAGCGGCGTGCGGCAGTGTTCGGGGCAGATGTGTGGGCCTTTCACGTGCACTGAGAGAGTGTGTGAAATCTCCAGGAGAGCTGTGGGCCCACCCAGGCTGCTGAGAGACTGGGGTCTGGGTGCACCGGCACCCGGCGGGGTCCGGATTCTGCCCTCTGTTATGCTGATATAAATATGGAGTGACTCCTCTAGAGGCACCCCAGCAGGGTTCTGGTGTCGGCACCTTGTGAGCTCATCCAAAAGAAGCCGCGTGTGGTTCGTTCTGCCTTTCCAGTCTCCTGGCGCAAGTCCCTCCGCTTTGGCCACAGCAGATGGGGAGCAGCAAGGAGGCTAGTGGTGCCATAAAGTGGCTGTAGAGTCTAGTGGACGGAGCACGGGTCTGGCAGGCAGGAATTCCTGAGTTCTGACCCGACTTTGCCTCGGCTCTTTGGGAAATTACCTCATGTGCTTGTCTTTCCCCATTAGACAGATGGGTGTCTTGCAGGTTCGAACGTTAATTACCCTGGGTTTGCAGGGCTCATTTAATTAATTACCCTGACCCGGCAATTGGATCCGCCGGGGCAGACGCCCAACCTCAGAGATCCCCATGGGATGCAGGAGTCACCCACCTGGATCCGATGGTTGGAATAGAAACTTATGTCTGTTCGGGGCTTGGAAGATCTAAAGTCTGGGCAGCAGAGTCCTGGCTCTCAGGCCTTTGGTGACTTCCATCCGGCATACCCAGACCTCCCTGGGCTGCACAGAGATGTGAGGGAGCCCACCTCGGTTCCTACAGGGTCTCCGCAAAGGCCCTTCTTTTGCAGGCTTGGCAGTGGGAGGGCAGGCAGGTGTACGCAGCGCTGAGCCTACGGAGACGGCTGCCGCATCCTCCTGAGCACCCCACCCCCGGTTTAGTGCTTCAGGGACTCAACAGTTCCAGAGTTGCTCATATGCAAATCCTGGCTTTTTTGCATGGGCTGCCGGCCAGGATTCCAGAACAGCTGCATGCTGCCAAGCCGCGCAGTGGGGGGGCGTGGCCCCAAGTCCACAGCGTGCTCACCTGGGCCAGTGTGGCACCGGGCAATGCAGGTGTAGGTGCTCTGGAACTGCCTGGAGCCTGGTTCCGGGGGTGGCGGCAAACTGGCAGCCACACAGGCCCGCGTGGGGCCGGCGGTAGGAGGCTGGGCATGCTGTGGATTCTGTCCCACCGGCAGGATGGTGACTCTGGAGTCTGTGCACACAGGTAAGAGGTCCCGGAGAGAGGGAAGGGAGGACGGGCTCTGGTGCGACCCAGCAGGCGGCAGAGGCTTCGGAGTCAAGCTGGGAGTGGGCTAGGGAATGTTTCCAAATGTGCATGACCCATCCACCGCCACCCCGTTGGCTCAGGTCTCCTGCACGTGGGGGCAGGAGGTGAAGCTAAGGACTGGCGGTGGCTGCTAAGAGTTAGCAGCTTCTAGGGCAGGAGTGGGCAATAATTTTTGATGGGGGACCCCTCCAAAATTATCATGGGTGGTCAAGGGCCACACTTTCCTACGGAGAGGGTCATGGGTCAGGGACGGAGGTTGGGTACAGAACGGAGCTCAGGGGAGGGGACTGGGGTGCAGGAGCAGCTGTGGGGTCTGAGAGGGGGTTTGGGTGAAGGAGGGGGTTCGCAGCACACAAAGCTTCTTCCTTTCCCTCCCTCCCTCCCACCCCCTGTGCAAAGGGGGGCTGCTCCCTGCTTGGGGGCCCAGTGGGGGGGGCGCAGGCTGAACTGAAAGGCTTGGCGGGCCGGATCTGGCTCCCCGGCCATGTCTCGCCCACCCCTGTTGTAGGTGAGGGGGGAGGTGAAGGATGGGGAGGGGTCACTTGCTGTTGCTGAGATTTGAAATGAGAAAAGGGGGCAGAGAAGACAAAGAAGGGGGGGCGCCGGGGAGGCATGGAGTGGGGTGAAATGCTACCGTGCTTGTGTGTGGATGCCTGCCACAGCGACAGGAGGGGGTTTCTGTCGACCTAGGGCTGCCTGCATCGGGAGCTTGGGCGTGTGTTTTCCAGACTCCTGAGTGACGTCGCTGGCTCGGCTTAAAACCTGAGTATAGACCTGGGAAATCACCTTCCAGCTGCACAGCATGGCGGCGGGGGCAGCAGAGGCTCTGTGCTCACTTGGGCAGCCACCCTCCCCTAAGAAGCCCACCCTCTTGGAGCTTAGCACTGTTGTGTGCGGACAGGGTTTGGGTCTGGGGTGAGTGCAACAAGCAAAACAATCCCCCTGAAACCAGGTGGGGGGGTGCTGGAGGACACGCAGATCTAGGTGCGTGCGGGCAGCTATGATCTGGGGGTGCATTTCTTTGGGGGCGTGGCGAGCGGTCTCCAGGCGAGCGTAGGCCCAGCTGTTGGCACAGGGCGCGTTAGGGGGGTAGCTCCGTGGCGATAAACACAGGCCCCTGTCCCAGGAGATTTCCATGCCCGCTGTTGTGGGCTGCAACACTGCTGTGAGCGTTCACTGGGGTGCGTGAGAGCAGGCGTGAAATCGAACGCAGCGCAGCGGCTCTGCTCCGCGGATACGGACTTCACTGCGGTGTCAGTGGGAGTAGCTACTTCATCACCGTCAGCAGCGGCTGGATGGGGCCGGACAGGCGTGAGCAGGGCCGGCTTCTCCGCACAAACCCCGCATGCTCTCTGGGTCAGGCCGGGTGCCGGGCCAAAAGATTACAAAGTGGACGTGGATTTTTTTAGGAGCGGATTTTCACAAGAGCTGGGGCATGGACGACTTCCCAGACTGCTGTCAATGGGAGCAGCGCCTGTGCAAATCCGGCTCGAGGTATTTAACGTGGAGCAAAAAGTGGAGGCCCTCAGAATCCGTGCCCATTCTACACACACGCGGCTACTCTGTGTTATGATTAGGTACAGGGTTAACACTGGGAATACCCCGCCCCCGGGCCGGGCCCACAACGGTAGTGACATGTTCCACGCACCGTGCATGTCCGCAGTGAGGCAGTGCCCAGCCATCAGCGTGGCAGGAAACACTCCTGCTCTTTTCTCTCCTCAAAGAGAGCAGGGAAGATTTGGTTGCAGTCAGTAGAAAGTAGATTCTCTATTGAGGTAGCTGGACACGCACTTAGCCCTGTGGTTCCTTCTGGCTGCCAGACTAAGTGACGTGGGAGTTGCATAGTGTTGCCTCACAGGTATCCCCATAAGTCGTGGGAGCAGAAGGGAATGCTGATTCCAGAGCAAACCCCTCCGCTTTTGAATCAGGCTCGTTGCGGCGTCATGGACACTGCTGGTGGCTCAGATGGCCCCACTTGATCTGAAACTTTGGTGGAGGCCGTTAAAAGCTTTCCTGGGTCTGTTAGTCACCAGAAAGACTCCTGTTAATCTCATGTGACTTTGAACCAGTCTGTAACATTTCACCTACAAAGGACTCCGGTTGAGGGCCTTGCCTAGGAAAAATTCCTAACTGTCAGGGGGGTCAAATATTGGAATAAATTGCCAAGGGAGGTGGTGGAAGCTCCCTCTCTGGAGATATTTAAGAACAGGTTAGATAGACATCTGTCAGGGATGGTGTAGACGGAGCTTGGTCCTGCCTTGAGGGCGGGGGGCTGGACTCGATGACCTCTCGAGGTCCCTTCCAGTCCTATGATTCTATGATTCTATGAAAAGCTTTGGAAAATACAGTCGGAAACATCTGAAGCAACCACGTGTTCAGGGGATGACTGCTCAAACCATTTGGAGTCAAGAAAGAATTTCACCATCGGTCAGATTGAGAGGCGTCCTGGGGGGTTTCACCTTCTGCTGCAGCACAGGGCATAGTCACTTGTTAGTTTCACCTGGAGTAAGCGGTGGATTTTCTGTAAGTTGAAGGCTTTAAATCAAGAGGTGTAGACGGAGCTTTGTCCTGCCTTGAGGGCGGGGGGCTGGACTCGATGACCTCTCGAGGTCCCTTCCAGTCCTATTATTCTATGATTCTATGATTCTCCAAAGCAATCGATGGCAATTCAGGGCACGGAAAGAAAGGTTTGTCCTTGTAGGTTGCCTGGCCCTCAAAAGCGATTTGAAAGTTGCAATAAAAGCACCCAAATCCAGACTCGCGTGTTGGCAAGTAGGCGAGGGAGGAACTGATTGTCTGCTCTTGTCATTTAGATACATTTGGGTTTCATAGACAGGCCAGAGCTTCAGCTGGTATAAATCAGCATAGCTCATTTACTCCAGCTGATGATTTGACCCACAACTGTGGCTATTCGGATCTTCGCAAAGTGTTGCTTTGTTGTGATTTTTAAAAAAAATTGTCACCCAGTGTCACTGAAGTCAAATATTTGACTCTGAGAAGAAAAACCCTCTGATCTCTAGAAATGTTTCAATCGCGTGTTAAATTCCAATGAAAACTGTTTGGTTTTGACTGGATGGAAACCTTCTCCCTATGGTTTGTAGCCCAAACTCGGCAGAAATGTAAGGCAGGAAAGACAGCTCGTGAAAGTAGGGATGTTAAATATCGGTTAATTGAATAGTCGAGTAACCTCATGAATTCTTATCGATTACTTGACTATTCTATAGTCCCCAGGGGTGGAGCTGGCAGCCAGTATGCTCCAGCCCCACTCCTGAGAAGCCCCATACCACTCAGCACTGCTGCCTCTGTGTCAGAGGCAGCAGCGTGGGGGGCCAGGCGGGACCAGGTCCGTGAGGGGAGCCTGTTTAAAAACCAGCTCCACTCACGAACCGGCTGCCTGTCACTCCATGCTACTGCCTCTGATACAGAGGCAGCAGTGCAGGGTGGCAGCAGCCTCTGTCTGGGGGGGGCAGGGAGGAGATCTGAGCTGCTGGACCAGTGTGAGCCAGAACTGAGCCAGGCTGCCTGCCCACCTAGCTCCTAATACAGTTTAAATGCAGAGTTATAGTGGGGGTAGGTCCTGGATCAGGCGCAAGCTGGTCTGAGTAGGGCTGCTGGCCAGCCTGATAAAAAATTCACTGTCAGGGAGAGGGGGGAATGCATGAAAAACTTTTGCTTATCAGTTAATCGACTACACTATTACATCCCTAGGTGAAAGTAGCTACATACACAAATGAAACTGATTAATGGAGCCAGGCAGAACATTCTCCACCATTTTTACAGATTTTGAAAAATGTGCCCGTCCAGAAACAGGACAAAAACCTGAACTCTCACAACTATCTGGAGGCTGAGAAATGGTTTGGTTTTGGTTAACTGAAAGAGGTGGACGCCGTCATTTCAAAATGTTTTGGTTTGATTTCAACCACTTTTGAAAAAATTAAAACTATTAGTAGCTTCAATTGCAAAATGCAAAGAACCAGCACACTTGAGTTATAGTTATTTTTTTCTCCTTTAGAATGTTTTGACAACTTCAGAATTCTTCTGAAAAAAAAATACCCATGTTGTTGAAAAATTAATCAGAAATGAGCTTTTCAACCAAAACATTTTGTCAGAAAATTCCCAACCAGCTCTACTGATTAGGCAAGTTTCGGTGACCAAATTCCCTGCTGGCATAACTGCCTCGAAATCAGAAGACTTGCACCAACAGAGTCGTTTCTTTGCCATTTAGGATAGAAAGGATGTTGACTGTGGGAGGGGTTTGCCATCCACCGCAAACGTGTTCTAGTTCTGGCAGGGTACGCGCTGAAGGCAGGCTTCTAAATTCTTATATCGGCACCTTCGTACATAATAAGGTCAGGCTGATTCTCAGTGGTGCTGAACCTATGCACGTCCCGTTCACTTGCAGGCCGCCCCATTTCAGTGCAGGCTAGTGATGATAGGAGCACACCACCCCTCAGTGGTGCTGAACCTATGCACGTCCCATTTCAGTGCAGGCTTGTGAGGATAGGAGCACACCACCCGCTGAATCCTCAGAGCAGTCTGCAGTGTCCAGCCAGTCACTAGACACTCACTGAAATTACTAGGCAAGCTGTGTCCAAAGGAGCCAGGTACACGCAGCTGGTCTGGAACAACTCAGGTTCGGGTCTTTTATATTGTCTCAGCACTGGCCTAGACTCTGAGTGACCCAATCAAAGTGAAGATTTAACAGCTCTGGGGAATAAGGATGAGTAGGAACAGAAATGGGTTCACAGGCAAAATGCAACCCTAGCTTTACACTTCCCGGTGGTTTCCTTTCCTATATAGCAAAGCAGATTTTTCTCCTCAGGAATCGTTTTTGGGCAGAGCTGTTAGTTTTCAGTCAAAACTGAGGTTCAAATGCTCATGGACATCCCAGGCCCTTCAAGAGGTTTCCACAGTGCCTGGATCCCAAAGTATGTTACATGTCCCCCCAATTCTAGCCCAGGTGCACCCTCAATAAGACTTTTCTCCTTCTGGTGTGTTCCTGTGGGCTTCATGCCTTGTGGTTTGAGCATGCAATTCAAACTGTGGGAAGGCCCGCTGTGGAACGGGACAATGCTTCATTTGCATGAACGCTCCTGGTCTGAAAGAGAAACTGTGTCTGCTGGTGATGCCTGCCGTGATGCAGTTGCTCAGGATATGTTTTTTCCGTACTGATACACAGCTCCCTTAAGCAAAGTCTATACAGCCAGCACACAACTGATAGTCTTTTCCGTACTGATACACAGCTCCCTTAAGCAAAATCTATACATCCAGCGCACAACTGATAGTAACAACCAGCAGGAGCCTAGCTGTCATTTGAAGTCTTGGATAAATACTAATAAAAGCAAAGGGTTAGGCGTAGTGAGTTTGTCAGGCCTGTTACAGAACAGTGAAACCTTTTGTCACTGAGTGACTTGGAGGAACATGCCACCTCTGAAAATCAGACTGCTCTTATTTAGGGGTCTAAATATGGGAGTAGGAGTATGTTTAGCTCATAGGTTTGAACATCTTGCCCTCGTGTTGTGTCAGATTAGGAAAAGCCTTTGGAGTTTGTTTGTGGTTTGTTTTGCAGCAAAGAGGGGGATGTACGCACGCTCATGTTTAGTTCGTTTTTTGTTTGTTTGCTTTTTGTATTTTACGATGAATAGAATTGTCAAAGCAGCCTATGTGAATTAGAGAGGTAGGTAAGGTAATATATTTTATTGGGCCCACTTCTGTTGGTGAGGTGCCCATGTGAACTGAGCAACTAAACCCCAGAGACATTCAATAGATTCATTTGACAATGTCAGCTAACATGATTTGTTGATTAATAGTTTCTCTGTAAAGCCACAGGCCAGATCTATCTTTAAAAGTGCAGTAAAGCCAGCTAACTCTGTGCGTGCGTGCGTGCGTGCGTGCGTGTGTGTGTGTGTGTGTGTCAGTCAGGATTGCCAACCCACAGAAATTTCATTTACGGAGAAAATGGGAAAAATTTACAGAAAGACACATTTTTTTACAGACATAATTTTTATACTATATTAAGATGACATAAATGGCCAAAAGTGAAAAGTAAATTCTTGTCATTCATAGATCACAAGAACAATATGCTATTTAACTCACTTTCATTTAGTTAGGCATGGTCCTGGAAGTTTTCCATTTTGTGATCGTACATCCGAATACTGATACTGTTAACCATAAATAAACAACTAAAACATCCAATTTCCACTGTTCCACATTAAAATGGCTGAAGCAGCAGAGAAGAAATGTAATTGCTATAGAATAATTGCTGTTTTTTGAAATTTTATTGCACTTTTATGAAATATACAGCCACCTCAATTTTTTTTAAGAACTTTATGGACATGTCCAATTTCGGCTAATTTTTTATGGACTGTCCATAAATTTACTGATGGTTGGCAACCCGTGTGTGTGTGTGTGTGTGTGTGTGTGTGTGTGTGTGTGACACACAGTGTTTGAGGTGATATCAGTCCAGTAAAAGATATTATCGCACACATCTTTTGTTGCTAATATCCTGGGACCAAGATGGCTAGTTGTGCTTGCCTGTATACCCTATTTTATTTGGAGAACTAGTATAAACTATATTCTCAGCATTCTGCATAGAAGCTGCATCTCCATGAGGAGAATTTGCTGGGAGACCTATATCCACACGACACTAAAAAATCTTTTCTTGCATCAAGTATATTATCCTGCTTATTCTGTGTGAACATCCTACCTAGCAGAGCTGTAGTGGAAACTTGAAACTATAGGAAGATTATGAATTTAAATTGGCTTCCAGTACAACAGCAGACTTTATCTGGGGGAATTGATTGTTTACTGCTGTGTCTGTGTTTTCTCGTGCAGGTTAAATGTCACATTTGTATTGGTAGGGCTCTTAATCTGTAACGAAAGAGGTGTTTCCTTTAGCACAAGGCAGTCTGGCATTTCTTTAGTCATCTACGCCTGGGTTTATCTCTCGCTTGCTATAGAGGAATCCTCAAAAGGATGTCAGCTTCAGCATTTCCAAAAAATCAAGAGCCATCTTCCCCCAATTGTCTTAAAAATCATGAGATTTTAAAAAATGAATATTTGGAGTTTTTTAATTCTTTCTGCTATTTGAGCCTGTAGGGTGTCACAATTTCTGTTTTTCAACCACAGGGGCTAGAAATATATATATTTTAATGAAAGTTGATAGTTTCAGGCTGGGGCATTCACAGACACAGCAAATATCCAAAACTTGGCAAGAAAATCGTGGGAGTTGGCAGCACTGAAGCTGGGACCAAGAGTCCCAGCCCCCAAAATTCCAACAACAGAGGGCCTGAGTCTTCTCTCCCAATGGTGTACACAAGGAGTCACTCTCCCAAAGCCAATAGAGTTACATTGCTGCAAACAAAATCAGAATTCGCATTCTAGCTCAGTGGTTTTCAACCGATGGTCCACAGACTCCTGGGAGTTCACAGATTATGCCTGAGTGCCGAAGGAGTTTGCCTTTGCATTTGAAACTTTCTGAGCATCCACAAAAAGGTTGAAAACCTCTGATCTGGATGGCCGAGAAATACAAGGCATTTTTAGGGTGTGGTTTTTAAATGGAATTTTTGTCCAAACGTTTTGGATTCCTTTTTTAGAGGGTGGAGGGTTGTTGCAAAGCCCACGTTTTGCATGTTTGGTTTTAGTTTGGGGAGCTTTTTTGTTTTCATGAAATCCCAAAAGCTTGTGAATTTCTGCTGACAAAACAAAAATCTTTTGGTTTGTATTTTTGGTCAACATGGTTCCTGGGGCTAAAAAGCACTTCTCACCCAGCTGAAACTGCAATCTCAGTCTGGACTCTAGGCAGGACAGCAGTACAATTGATTGTATGCTGATTGCCTAAAGACCCCAAACCAAAATCCAGGCACAAATGGAGCTTTGGTAAGCCAGAAACCACTTTTGCCCCCCCGCCCTTTTAACTTTTGTTCCAGTAGAAAACACTTTTTAAACTTGGAGTTACTTTTCTCCTCTACCAAAATGAAACATCAGGTTCCATTTTGAAAACTTGTTGACCAACAAAATGTTATAAACACAATAGAAAAAATTAAACGTGGTCAAAAGAGACATTTTCTATCCAAGAAATTAAAACTTCATTGGAATATCATCAAGCAGCATCGGCATCAGTGAACACAGGGGGAGTGGCTATGAAAACTATTCATTTCTTCTGTCTCCCAGCTGCATGAAAATAATTGGTTTATGCTTTTAAAAAAGTTTGCCTGAATCGGGCACTGTCTCTTTAAGGGGAAGGTTTCCACCTGTGTCTTTTATCCATGCCAAACCACATGAGTACACATATGTTGCTTGCATATTGTATTATTATTGCCTCATGCAAATCAGTGTATTTCCTCAATGGGGATTGGCTCTTGGAAGCCTATGCAAATCAATCAGTTTGTTCTTTATTTATTTATTTACTGTACAGCTGGGTTGGAAAAGGGTTAAAATTCTCCTGAAAGGGGGAAAGGGAGAGTCGAGGCGAATTTGACTATAGTATTCTTCCTCCTTCAACTGATTCTGTACTTCGGGTCTTCGATACAGAGATGACCCATACGGCAAGTTAGGGTAAAGCTGACTGTTTCTCCCCTTCCCTTTCTTTCAGCTGCCCCTGAAGAAGGCTCTGACCTGAGGTGTGGTAGCAGCTGTCACTTTAAGGGTAAATGTTTGATTTGTTGAGATTAAAAAAGGGGCTCAGGCAGAAATGCTGGAGACGGGTGTGTTCCGGATGGGCTTTGGGACCTCACTTTGTAATGGAGGGGCAGGCTCTGTGTGTTGGGCCATGGAAGAGCAAACAAGGGGGGAGCAGTGAGAGTGAGGGGACAAATCGAACTGGGGAGGTAGCCGGCAGGAGAAAGAAGGCGAAAGAGAAGCTCCGTCCAAGGTTTTCCATCTCTTCGTTGCTGTGCGGGCCTCTTCTAGGGGCCTTTATTGTCTGTTTTGTACAGCACCAGACACATCGTCGTTGTGGACTGAACAATGGGAGAGGGGGAAAGTGGTTGGGAGAGCTAGTGAATGGGCCCCGAACTGAGCAGCGACGACGGTTCGGCATTTTCCTCAGAGCTGTGTACGTTGGCTAACTAGGGAGAGGGGCCAATAAGGAAAGGGGAGCCCCCACCCCGATAGCCAGAGACTCCCCATGATGCCAGAAAAGAACGATGCCAGAGGAGAGAAGGCCAGCGGTGTATTGTGGAGGGGGAAGGAAAGGAGGGAACTGTGGCGAGCAACCGAAGGGAAAAGGCGTCTTTGGAGCTGATGAATATTCTATGCTGAGGAAGAGAGCATTTGAAAGTCTGATGGTTTATTGTAATTACACATGGATTCGTGTTGTTCGGTGGAAACCCACATGTGCCTGTTGCCTGGGTCTGTGACCTGATATTAAAATCAGTTGTGACTTCTTTTCAGCTCTCAAGATGAGTAGCGAGGTGGCAGACTCCACAGAAGCCCGGAATGAACCTGACCAAGTGGAACCAGGTAAGAAACCCTCCCTCCATTCCCGGCCTCGGGGGGCTAGCAGGGGGAGGCATGAAACAGTGCCTGGACAGTACCTTCTGTGCTTTGCGTCGGACTCTTCACACCAGCTGGCGTGTTGATCAAGAATCTGCGCTGGGGTAGAATGGAGCTCACGCCTGGATCAGAATGAAAGATCGTTGCTTAATCACTGCGACCAGCTGAAAACTCAGTAATGCTCGTCATGATTGAGCACTGAAATAGACCCAACAGATGGTCAACTGGGTTAATAATATTAATAGATTCTTGAAGCACCCAGCCTTACGCAGATAGGTCTTTATTGTATTTCCGGGCCTGTTTAGAAGCCTTTCCTCATATAAAACTCCCAGGGTCACATTCCTCTTTGATGTATATGCCACTTGGAATCTGTAAAGTTATTATAAGGATTAGTACGGCAGTCATTTTACTCCAGTGCTCCTTGAATAAGAAGTGCCGATGAATGGGACCTTAGGGTTAACTGTTTTGGATGCAAATGTAGCACAATTTTGTGCCAAATCCTCTAGTCCCACTGGAGAAAAGTCTGCAATATACCGGATGCGTTGCTTTCATCTTTTGCAATATTCAAGCAGGCGCTGATAGACTATAATTGGCATTGGATCAGGGATTTACGGAGAAAGATTCCAAAGAGCTCTGGCTCATATTTTTAAGTGGGTGGCGCTCACAACTGGGGCTGGGTTTTCAAAAGGGCTCCTCTTCCACGCAGGCGTCAAAATCTGGGCCCAAAATTTTAAAAAGATTTTCAGAACCCAGGAGCATGTGTTGTGCCGAGCTCGTTTGCCGCTGAAGGCAGTGAAAAATCTCTGCCCACATTGCAACAAAACAGCGACTTCATGGCTGTTCCGATGTCCTCAATTTAAAAAGACGTGGGGAAGATGAGATCATCTTGGAACAGCCAAATCATCTTCAATACATTTTAATAGGATGTGAACTAGCCCTTTATTTAGATATTAGAATTCAGACCTGGGACATTTCTGGGTAGCCAGAACTGCCTCCTTTAGTCATCGCAAATTTCTACATAGAAGAGGACAGTCAGAATCCTCACTCCACTGAAGCCCATGTCAAAAATCCTAATGCCCGGATTTCCCTGGTGATTTTGAAAAGAATTCAGAGCTAGGTTTGTAAGTGTTCCATGCTCACAGGGAGGGCTAAATATTCCAAACAATCACACGCCCAATGTGCTCCTGATCTGGCCAGTTATTTTGGTGCTTACATGGGAGTTGAACTCTTGTGAAACTCTGTCCCCATATTTCTTAATTCCTGGAAGATAACCGTAATCTCATTTTAATTGTTTCAAGCCTGGGGACCCATAGCTCATTACATGACTCAAGTGCTCTTTCTAGTATCAATTCTTTATGTAGTGATGGGACCTGTTGTATCTGGTTAACTGCGGAGTAGTTTCTGTTGAAGTCCGTGGGGTTACTGATAGGAAACTTGCAGAGCTGAGATCAGAATTGGCCTCACTAGACACAATGCATGCATTTTAAACTGGCTTAGTAACTAGCTGTATTTAAGCCGGAAACTAGCTGGTTCTGATAGTGATGAGTTGGAATGCTCACAGGTAAAGCACCTTTGTTTTAAACATGAATGAATAATTGGATCGGCGGGAATACTGCTTTAAGGGCTTTGAAGTCGTGCAGAGAAATAAAAGTCAGTAAAGTCAGTTGTGGAGGAAATGCATCTGTTCCATCGGAAGCCACAAACTGGTTGTTAGGTTTTTTTAAAGACTCTTCTTAACCTCTGTGGCTGCCTGATAGTTCAGGAACTTCAGAAGTGAGCGAACAAGGGAGAAAGTGTGACAACATGTGAGCAGATACTGCAGTGAAATTCTAGCTTCATGGTATTATCCCCAAGGCCTTTGCCCTAGCTATCATAAACACTCAAGCCTAGATCCTATGAATTGCTAAGATCTCTTCCCTTCCCTTCCCTTCCTCCCAAACTTCAATGGAATGTACGGGGCCTCAGCATAGGATCACACTTTTGGGTTGAGTTTTGTGTGTCAAATCTCTAGCCACTGATGCCAGTGGATTTAAGCCAGTTGAAGGGATCTAGTCCCATATATTATTTTTAAGAAACTGTTATCCCGTGAATTAATAAATAACCAGACACATTTACTGAACTTCCTGGAAAGTTCATATTATTTTAAATGATTCATATTGTCGGGGCAGAACTATTGCAATTCGTAATAGTAACCTATTTTGTTTACAAGCTCCAATGGAGAATTCCCCTTTGAAAGGCTGATGATCGAGAGCTGGTTTTCTTCCATTTTTAAAAAATCAAATAAGTTAGGTTAATAAATAACCAGACACATTTACTGAACTTCCTGGAAAGTTCATATTATTTTAAATGATTCATATTGTCGGGGCAGAACTATTGCAATTCGTAATAGTAACCTATTTTGTTTACAAGCTCCAATGGAGAATTCCCCTTTGAAAGGCTGATGATCGAGAGCTGGTTTTCTTCCATTTTTAAAAAATCAAATAAGTTAGGACAAA